AAGTACATCAGGTGTTTAGGAAAATTAGGAAACACGGATGTAAACCGCGTATTGAGTGGTGTTTCAAACTCATTGATCAATATGCTTGCGTGGGAGTCAGTGAACTGTGCGCTGGTGTGCGAGTCTCATCGACAATAAACGCAAGCTATCAGCTCTAACCACCACATTTAGGCCTACATTGTTATTAATAGTGGATACTTTCATGCGCTTTCATGTCCAAGTATCTGCTATCAAACCCGTTGAAGTGCAGTTTCTGTTCATGTGTGCTATGTGTGTTAACCCTATATATCCTACCCTACATACAGTTAGGGTGAAACACATGACTTAACTTGTGATATTGCCTGCACAGCTCTTGCGGTTCGTTTGGTCATACACCACAAGCTGTCACTGTGGCCTCAAAGCTTCAGAACTGTCACTCTGAGCTCGATTGCTGAGGTCTTAGTTAAAACACGCCCCCCTCTTTAACATACGGAGAAAGAAATGTTGGAATAAATAAATGTGGAAATGATGAAATGATGAAATGTGGAAATAATTAAATATAGAAATAAATAAGTGTGAAAATAAAGAAATACATAAAAACATAAATACTGAAATAAATGTGGAAATAAATAAAAGTTGAAATAAATAAATGAATAAATGTATAAATAAATAAATAAATGTGTGGAAAAATACAATTATAGGCCTACATAAATATGGAAATAAAAGTATAAATACTCATTTATTTGCATTTTTTACATTTCTTTGTATATTTATTTATGTATTTATTTATGTATTTGTGCTTTTTTAAATTTCTTCGTACATTTATTTATGTATTTATTTATTTTTAATTTAGTCAGCTTTGGCATTCCATATGCAACGGGGGTTTGATATACGTTTTCTCTTGTTTGATGGGTGTGTCAGAACTACAATCCAATCAGCAGCAACATGTATAGGCAAAATCAAAATCCAATCAGCAGCAACATATACAAAGCACGGGGTTTTAAAGTGAATTTGCAATTTTGCATAGGCCTAATGGGTTCAAGGAAAGTAATTTAACGTAGGCTACAAATGTTTTCCATGCAGCTCAACAACTGAGGATATTAGAAGATATGTTTGTCGTTTATTGTAAAAATATAGGATATCAACATAATGATGTTGTTTATATTTTAGCTTAGCTTATTTATATTTTGCAAGTGTATGACATTTGGTATAGAAAACCATGCTAATTAAGCGCTTTTCCTAAAAATGAGAAAGAAAATAAGGGTATTAAAACAGTGTGAACTACAAATAAAGTCAGTATGTGAGGCTAAATAGAACGTGTTTTAATCCGAATTAGGTAAAATGTGTGCTTCCATTTCAGTTTCCACAAATCCCTTCACTCGATTGGGATGTTCTCTTGTGTTCTGGGCAGCAAGTGCAGTAACTGTAACATCGGGCATATTTTGTAGCATTAAACACATATTTATGCCGACTTCATCAGGCTCCGGAAATTCTTCACAAAGGACGCAAAGAATGGCCTTCTCAGCTGCAACTCTTGCGTCATCAGAACAGTGTGTTGAACGCATCACCGTTTCTGTTTAAAAACGTTGTGCAACGTTTTGTCGGGGATGAACGCAGCGCTCTGGTATAACCAGACAGACAGAGAATGTGTCTAATGGGCTTTATGCCCAGCTGCACTACTTCCTGAATTTCAGCCAGCTCCTTGTTTCCTGTCTGCCATTATTGGCCACATTGATTAATCCAGGTGTGTCCGATTATTGTTGCTGTGACTACTGAGGTCAGGCACACCTGAATTAATCAAATTGTCCAATAATGGCAGACAGGAAACAAGGAGCTTGCTGAAGTTCAGGAAGTAGTGCAGCTGTGCATAAAGCCCATTGAAGAGAATTGGCACTGGCTGGCTACTTCCGGGTTCTGGACTGGCTGCAGTAACACGTCTCTGTCCATGCGGGGGCGCTCGCGGTCGAGTGCAGAAATGAATGAATGGGAGTCAATGGGGTTTCACCCCCATAAATCCACTTTTCTCAGGATGTAATTTTTTGTCAAGTAATTTGAAAGTTGCATTCAAAAGGGAGGGCTAAGATAATACACTCAGCTGAAAATTGCATTTTTAAGTTCACTTATCTGTTCTAAAAATCCGTTCAAAAATGTGATGACGTCACACAATAGCAGAATGCTAGCGTGTTCCGGCCAACAACAGCCTAACCTGTAAGAAATCAAAAGGACATAAGTACTCGTTCATTCGACTTTTGGCCTATAATCTATATTGAACTTGCGGAATCAACAATAAAATCTATGTTAATTTAACGACAAGCAGGTGAAAGAGACACTTTTAGCCGTTTAGCCCCATAGACTCCCATTCATTCTGCTCTCGCCCGCGATCACCTCCAGTGGAATTCTAATGGAACTGCAACCAGGATGATAATGGGGCTAATAGGAAGTGCCAAGGCTCTCCGTTAGACGGGCTCTGGTAAAACTAGGGTGAGCTTGATGATGAGGTAACAAGACACAGCTGATCCGGGCAGTGGTTTATGGGTAATGAAGTCCGTAATAAAAATGGCAATAAACAGGGGAGTGCCCTCTGGTGGCTCTCAAGGGCACTCCAGTATAGGATCACAATAAAAACACTACAATAAATAAATAATTCAAAAGTACACTAAGTGATCTCTCCACGTTAATTTAATTTTAATGTTTGTCTGTCAATGTATAAAGTCATCAATGATAAAAAAATAATTTATACAAAAATTAATAAAGGTTTATACCAAGGAATGATTGTAGATTGTTTTTGATGCAGCTGCAATTTATTAAATGTCTTAAAATAAAATTAGTTAACTTTTAAATGTCATCGGATACAACGCACTAATTGTGTGCACATGTTTTTACTTTCTAATTATATTCAATAATAAATAAAAAATAATACTAAAAAAATAATTGTATGTAATTACAGCTGCAGTTAATTTCAGTAAATACATAATAATACTAAAAATCTGTGCCCTTTAAACCTAATCACATCAACAGACCTGTCCCTAATCTTGCCCCTATCCCATCTCAATAGCAGCAAAAGTGTTCTGCCACAGCCTACAACATGAACCCAATAAGTACATTGTACCTAACTATTTTTGTACATTGTAGTTAAAGGCCCATATAAAGTGCTTCTTTCTTTCATTTTCTCACAAAATGTTTTTTTTTCTTGTCTCACTTCACTCAATAGGGGTAAATAATTGGATAATTGGATTTATCTTAAATTCTCTTTAATAGATTGGAAAAAAACAATGCGTCTTATATTTATTAAACGATGACATGCTTAAAAGAATAAATGAATTAAGACTAACTTGTTCTTCTGTGGTATCTATAAAATACTAGCCTACTTAAAATACTGCTACTTTAAATAAGGAGGTGATGGTTTAGGCTAATGTTATAATTCAAATTAAATAAAGTGCATTACTTTAAAAACTTATGGCAAGTAAAACTGTGGAACATGACAGGGATTTAAACATGAATTTGTGAATGTACATATTGAATCAAAAATCATTAATGGATATATAACTTAAGCTCAGGAAGTGTCCCCATATATTGCATTTGATAATGTTCTGTAATAAGTTTAATTCTTCATAATGCACTTGAAGCATGAAGCAATCTCTTTGTGTCCACATTATTATTGACTTATTTTTTGACACGATTTATCAGTAGAGACTGTAGGGAAAACTGTAAAGCAGTGGTATGGAAAGGTAGGCCTACAACAAGGAGCATTTGTAATTGGTCCCAGTGAGAGGAAACTATGGGGACTGAAGGGTGGTGGAAGTCACATTCTTGTCTTTCCTAGATCAGCATGAATGGGCAGCTAAGAAGTGGGGGTTGGTTGGTGGGACAGATGGATTAGGATTGTGTAGGCTGTTAGGGAACAAAGGCTCGCCTGTATACTTGTAGCAAACACAATTTATAAAGTCAGTAATCCTAAAGTTTTTACGACTTTTTGCCCTTTTCTCAAGTAGTTAGCCTAGCCTACACAATGAGGATAGACGACATATATCTACAAAAAAACTAATTTATCAATTTCAACGAGACATTTCTAGTCAAAAAGACATTGTCCTTGTTGTGCATTAAAAAAACACACACTCACACACACCGAAAGAAATTGTCATTTTAAACGTAAATTATTTAGAAACAGAATTGTCTTGGGATTATTAACGGTGAAGATCCTAGATGGCGCTGTTGTGCGGATATAGTGTAAGTGGAGTCGCTCAATGTAGCTGCGTGCTGTCCAGTGTTGGTGAATCAGTTCGTTCGAACAGTTCGAAAAGGTTCAGTGAGTCTTTACGTCATCACGTGATCCCCAACATATCCAGTAAAGCCACATATACTGTAGGCTAATTTGCTAATTTTGATGTTTGAGTAATTAACCTTGAATTAAAACAATAGCATTTAAACAATACTACTATTTTTTTTCTCCCCACTGCAAAAAAGCTATTCATTAAACCAACTCTGTTTCATGAAATAATAGCATTTATTTTATTGGGCCTATTAGTCAAATCTTTCGTTCATTCTAAATGCTCTCAATATCAGCTCACGATGGCTCAGGTAGCTGTTGATTCATGACCCCTTCTTGTCAAAGCAGATTTATTATTATTCTTCATAATGTAGCCTAATGTTGATTCCTTTTATCCATAAATATAAGTGTTTGAATACAAAACTCAATTTTTTTCTATATTTTACTTTTTTTTTTTTTTTTTTTTACTATTTTCAATAATTGAATTATAAGAAGGTAAACAGGCCTGCGAATTGCTGGGCTCATAGGAGACTCAAGTTAAATGTATTCGTTTTTGTTCACTTGTACACGTTTTCCTTTTCACGGTTGTATTGTTTTGCCTTGATTTTTATTTATCGATTAGCAGCACGTATGAGTAGCATGATGTATTTATCATGTCACTGTTCAATAAAAAAAGAACCGCTCGGACAGCTCAGTCCGGTACGTGAACAAATCATTTTTGTGAACCGGTTCAAATGATTCATATAAAAGATCCGACTCAAAAGAACGATTACGTTCACCACTCGGCCATTGCTGTTCTCCAACTCTTAACCCGCCGCAGGAATGAGCAACGCTCGCCGAGCAGCAGATACGCGGCCGTTCTAAACAAATAACCTGTTTTAATCGTTCTTGCGGACGTTTATGCAAATTCGCTTGACTGACAAGTATATATCACATGCTAACGTGGGTCGTCAGTTCACTAACCTTAACATGTAACAGAATACTCGCTAGTCCCGGCTTGTGAAGCAGGAGTGAAGAGCAATCAATCACCGGACACCTCCACCGTTATTCGTGTTTGTACAGTACAGTGAGCGCTGCTGAGGCAGGGGAACCGCTGCGCTAATGCTTCCCTGACCACACCGACTCAGCGCTGCTATTTTAACGCGGTATCTTGTTTTCGACCAAACATCAGATCAGGTTTTATAGCGGGACAAGATGTTGCAAGTTTTGATTTGCGGCGTTGTGGTCTTCCCCGGTCTCTTCTTCACTTTTAGAAAAGTGCTTCCGTCCATTTTCAAGCAGTGGACAGATGCCGACGTCGTGCTGGTCAGCGAGAGGTGAGTTTGGTGACAGTTGAGCAGTTCGGTAAGGCCAGACAGCTCTTGTATTTTCATTTGCTGGTTTACTGCTGTTTGGTTGTAAAACTAGTCTCACTGTCAGTTTGAAAGGTCGTGTTTGCACATTTCTAATATAATATTCACATAAAAAAGCTAAATTGATGGAAACGATCATACCAGCTGTTAAAATGCTGATGCTGTGTTTGCACCTTGACCTGTAGCAGGGGCTTCACAGACTCAGGGACCCCCAAACAGGCTCTCAGCCAACCCCAGTTTTCAATATCTATCCAAGTCCTTGACAGATATCTTTGGCACCCTATACAACTTTGAGTGATAGATTTATATGTTGAGGCTTGTGTATTTAAGGGATCAATTATGTTTATAATAATCAGACTATGTTGTGCTCATGTTATCCTTTGATACAGCTGATGTCATGACCTTAATCACTCCCTTATCAACTCAGCCATGGAGTCCATGGATAGTCCATGGAGAATGAGCATGAATTGACCAACTTAAAGAAATGTACAGACCTCTTTTATATTTACAGATTTCCATATAAACAAGCCTGGGTGAAATATGTCTTCAATGATCTGATCTCTACCTGAAGTCAGATCGCTACAGACACATCTGGGTAATAAACCCAGTACACACAGTCAACTTTTAACCACTAGTGATATATTAAGATATTCTCAAACTCAACATCTGAAACTAGTCACTATTTAACTATTTTAAATGAGGGGAACCTTTATCTGTGGTCATCCATACATGCAATTTTTTTTGCAGATAAGCAGTTTCAGATCAGTTCTGGGTGGGTTCAGCAAAAATAGTCATTGACAGTAGTTTTGTGCTCTTGTTAGCTTATGCAATAGTCACATTGTGCTTTTTACAATACAGATTGTTTCAAAGCTAACAGAAAAATAATGTAAAAAAGTTTGTTTCCAGAAGACAAGAGCATCACAGTCCAGCTTAAGTAAGTTCAGTGATGTTTCATTTTTGTTTTTAAAAAAGTTATTAATTTAGTTAATTTATATATAGCTGCTCTGGAGTAAACCGTTATGTTATCGTCTAGCTCCGTTCAGTTCTTGTATAATAGTGTCAGACTGCAGGCAGATCAATATTATTGTTGAATATTAAATATAAAATAAGTAAGCCAAGCCAATGGCAACAAGGGTTACAGTGGCAAGGAACCAAAACTCCATCAGGTGGAGAAAAAAACCTTGGGCGAACCCAGACTCAGTCGGGGGGTCAGTTCTCCTCTGGCCAATGAATGAAAAGTGTATGATTATGATTCAGGTAGCATTATAGACCTTATGCGCCAGAGAAACAAGGGCGCTGCCATCTTTAGAATATTGTCTTTGAACTTCTGTTTTTGTGGTTGCTATGGCATTGCTGTCCAGAAGTAATTAGCTTTGAAGTGGATTTACTTCATGTAAAGTTAACAAAAGTTAGCAGATGTCTTGACAAATGTCAGTGGACCGGCAAGATTTTAAAACGAGCTGTTCATTAATAAATACGCAAGATCATTGTAAAAATACAGACCGGAAGTCAAAAGACAATGAGCGCAGTGCTGAAAGGTGGTGGGGCTTCATAAGGTCTGTTGGTCAGAAGTCAGATTGATTTGGAACAATCAGAATATTATCCAGATCCATCTGGTTTAAGATTAGAGTCATCACACCAGGATAGAGACGGTTTGTTGAGCCATCAGTGCTGATGGCTGTCGTGTCGATGAGGCCTTCAATGGGAGTCTAGAGCCCCTTTCACACAGCACGTTGATCCCGGAAAATTGCCTGAACGCCTTCTGTGTGAACGCAAACATGACCCAGGATTGATACCAGCATCGATGCCGGGATGGGGACCTAGTAACATTGCCGGAATCAGTCCTGGAACCCGCGCTGTGTGAATAAAAGCCAGGACCAATGCCGTAAAGGCCTCATTATGCTTCTTCGTCAACTCCACGGCGTAGCTATGTTGTCACAACTACGGCGTCGTGGACGTTCATGCTTCTGCGTCAGATTGCGGTGCATTTCTCCGCCAGAACGCTAGGGTGTGTGTGGTTCGCGATTCTCTTTGCTAGTTTGTTTGAATGTTGTTGCAGCTGGAGTTAATTGACGTTGAACAACAAGACGACACAAAATTTGTCCACATAGAACCAACACGGATCCAGGGCCCGTGCCATAGCTTTTCGGAATGACTTGAAGGATTTTTTCAGTCTCCACATGGAACTGTGCCATGGCAGGATAATGTAGTGTCCCGTGGCAGACTTGTGGTGCGTTCTATTATAGCCAACGAACCGACTCGGACCTCGGATTTGACGTCACGTCCACACTTCAAGTGTTATTATGTTTTGTGTGTCCAAGTCGCTGAAAAAAATGGACGCTACCCGGAAAGCTGTTATAATGGTAGCACTGGCCGAGTACCAAGCACTTACATTAAAAAATATATATTATGACTACACCCAACATGACGTCTGCAACATGACATCATGACTTTTGCGTAAACATATACGCCACTTTCGAGTCAGGTGGCGTGTTATCTCCACGCATTTTGTGCTATCCGCGTGTGTCCGCGTGTATGCGTATATGTCTACGCCATTAACGTCCGCGTCATTTCGCGTGTCTGAACACGCAGTCAAATCTCCAGTCATAAATGCCATTAACCCCAGTGGCGGTTAAGTTTAGGGATGGGGTTGAGGTAAGTCATATCTTTTTTTTACCTAGGATGGTAAGGGAACAGTCATAAATGCCATTAACCCCAGTGACGGTTAGGTTTAGGGACGGGGTTGAGGTAAGTCATATATTTATATAATGTTAAGTCAACGGCGTTCATAAACACGCTGAAAGGCGATTATGCGTCTTGATAGCACGTCAAAAATGGAAATACGAATTGGCGTGTCATACACACGCTACTTCATGAGATCAGTCTGCTACACCTTATCAAAACGCAGCCATTTGAACTTGAAAATGTTCACTTTATTTAATGTTTTTCATGTTAATCTTCAGTTAGCAACTCTAGCTACATTGGTAATTGCACGCACAACAACCAGTTCCCATACCTACAGGGGACGCAGTAATACGAGTGATTATAATTGTCATTTAAAATACCAAAGCAGTTCAAAAACAATGAAAACAATTCATTCTTACAAGTCACAGGGCGCAGCCATTTTGAATTCAGAAACGGAATTCTTGCTCGGTGTCCTCACGGTTGTCCGATGACCGAGAGGAGAAATCCGAGATAAAGGGACATGTTGCTAGACAATTTCTGTCGTCTGATTCGGATCTCCGAGATGGATGAATAATAGACCATTGGTTAGTACTGTATTATCAATGATGTAAGCGTGTGAACATTGCATTGAAAATAAACAACAAGAATGAAAGAAAAGGACGAATAAATGCCTGCAAACGGTAACGAAGCAGAGACCAGGAGCTCCTTACTATCCGCGCTGATGCTGAGATCGTTCATCACCTTTGTGGAACGGTATGCGCGTGTACATGTTTTCGACGCATATACGTTACACGTCTCATCCTGATGTAACGTTTCTATCCGGGATCTTTACGGGTTGTGTGTGAATGCACTCACAGATCCCGGCAAATCATTGGCAGTGTGAATGAACCAAAATCAAACAATCCCGGGACAAATGCCGGGTCACATTATCTGTGTATTTTCTGGAATCTCTGTGTGAAAGGGTTGACAGAATCTCTGCTGACACTTCAAGGATGCGTTATGGTCGTGTCTAGGCGTGCGTCCTCCATCTGTTCTGGATACTTCTGGATCCAGCTGATTACAGCAAACTTCGGAATTAGCAGAAAGACATTAGTGTAGATTCTATTCTTCTTATGATGTAACAAGTACATTGGTGTTATGTTCCTGGTTCCGGCTGACCTAATTTAAACAGCCTAATAATCATTTAACTGATTTGAATAATAGGAATGTATTATTTTCTATCTGTATGCCAGGTTAAATAGATAAGTTTGTAGTCTAGATTTGAACTGATAGAGTGTCGGCTTCCCGAACAACGTTAGGAAGATTGTTCCAGAGTTGTGGTGCTAAATAGGAAAAGGATCTACCACCAGCTGTTGATATTCTAGGTATTATCAACTAGCCAGAGTTGTGAGATCGCAATAGATGTGGACTGTAATGCGTTAAGAGCTTCTTGTACTTGGGAGCTAAACCATTTAGTACTAGTTTGTAAGTAATCAGCAATATTTAAAATTATACAATGTTTATTGAGAGCAAATGCAGTGTGGATAGAACCAGGCTAATATGGACATACTTCCTGGTTATGCTAAACCTCTAGAACTCTAAGAACTCTAGCTGCTGCGTTTTAGACCAGTAGTAGTTTGTTTATTATGCATGCAGTGCAACTTATGGATGATTAGAGCATTACAATAATCTAGCCTTGAGGTCATGAACGCATGAACTAACTGTTCTGCATTTTTCATTGAAAGCATATCATAATTTAGATATATTTTAAGATGGAAGAATGCGGTTTTACTAGAAATGTGGCTTTCAAGTGAAAGATTGGTATCAAAGAGCACTCCCAGGTTCCTAACCGACGACGAAGACTTGAGAGAGCAGCCATCAAGTGCTAGACAGTATTCTAAGGTTAGTAGGTGTGGAGGTTTTTGGTCTAATCATTAGAAATTCTGTTTTTCAGACAAAAGTAGTCATTACTAGTCAACCAAATTGTTATATCAACTATGCATTGCATTAAAGGGGTGGTTCAGGATTTTGGACGTCGGACCTCATTTCCAAGTTAGCCTGCGTGTTATTTAACAGTGGAGACCAAAAAAAAGTCATCAAGTTCTTTCAGTCAACGAGTCAACGGTAAACTGTATCTGCTAGCCTGCCTTTAAAAACAGTTTTACCCACTCCACAGTGTATCCAGTCTCTTTGGTAGAGAGAGAGAGAGAGAGAGAGAGAGAGAGAGAGAGAGAGATAGATGAGGAAAACAAACAAGCATGCAAATGGAAATTATTGCGTCCGGAAAAATTATTGAGCTA